GGGGCACCTGGGTGGCTCATGCATTAAGCGTCCATCTTGATTTCAGCTCAGGTCATGATCTCAGGGTCATGAGATCAAGCCTCGCGTCAGTCTCCATGCTGGGCCTGCTTGGGATTCTCTCTCTCCCTCTGCCCCCCCCACCCCCACCACCCCACTCATGTATGCTCTCTCTCACTCTTAAAAAAAAAAAAACTTAAAAAAATAAATTAAAATGGAGGGAAAAAAAGAAGTGCAGAAGAGAAAGAGTAAAACAAGGAGTAAAAATCATCTTCCCTGAGCAGGCTTCATCCTGGGAGACCCTTCAAAGGGAAGACACCTGAGCAGATTGTTTGGATTAGGCAAGAGATCCAAGGACCAGAAAGCAATAACCAGAAAATGAGAAAAAACAATTCTTTTTCTCCTCTTGTAAGTTGAAAAAAAAAATAAAACTACATGTTTTTGTCTGGTTAACAATATTTTTTCTGACCTCTCATTCCTACAGACACAGCTCAAGCATCAGCCCCAGCAAGTGTTTCTCTCCACCCCCTGCATACCTGAGCAGCTATATGCTCTGGTGCCAAAGCCCCTGGGGTCTGTTGTTTATTTCCGCCAAGCTAGCTGTCACTTACCTGTTACCAGTGTCCCCATCCATGCGACAGCGATCCCACACTTGGTGCAGACAGGGACTCACCCACTGTGGGCTCCTCACTCTCAGACCTGCCTGTCTGTGAATCAACAGCATTTAAGTCCACAGCTAGGTGCTTAATAAATTCTTGGTGAATGAACTCATGCAAGCGGGGCATGTATATACTCTTACAGTCTTCCGCTAAGAGCCGATAGGGATGGTGCAGCCCCGGACAGGGTAAAAAAGGAAAAGTCAAATGAAAGTCCCTGTGTTCTCAGGGGCGAGACAAGGACCTCGTGGGTATGTGCTGGGGGCATGAAGATGAGGATGGGGCACACCGAATACCTGATTCACAAACCCGTAACACTTGAAAAGGCTTACACAATATTTAGTCCAGTCGCCTCTTTCTACAGAGAGACACTGAAGCTAGAGAGATCAGGCATGGTCAAGGCCATGCAGCTAGTTTAGCACTCCTCTAAGCTGAAGAGGACCTAAACCATAGAGCTAACTAAGCCACCTCCACCCCTCACTAAGCATTTGTCTAAAACTGGAAGTTATTTAGTAATTAATAATAATAGCTACTAACTACTATGCATCTGCTGGGTGCCAAACCCGTTCTGAAAATCCCCACATTATCCCCAGGTTACTACTGAGGAAGGGGACTGAGGTCAGAGAGGAAAGTAACCTGCACCTAAGATCACAGAGGTAATTAAGTCTCAAAAATCTCCTCTGAGCTGTCATACTCCAAAATTTCACTGTGATTATCACACTCCAAAACCCAAACTCTAGCCCGATGCTCATCCTTCTCACCCAACACCTCAACTGTCTCACTCACCTTGTACACACCTTGCATGGATGGACTCATTCATTCCTCACCAAGACCTACAATGTGGTACTACCAGCATCCCATTTTACAGATGATGAAACTGAAGCTTCACAAAGAATGGCAAAAATGCTGCCTGTAGTTTCTTATAAAACTAAACATACAGGGGAGCCTGGGTGGCTCAGTTGGTTAAGCGACTGCCTTCAGCTCAGGTCATGATCCTGGAGTCCCTGGATCGAGTCCCGCATCGGGCTCCCGGCTCAGGGGGTAGCCTGCTTCTCCCTCTGACCCTCCCCCCTCTCATGCTCTCTCTCTCATTCTCTCTCTCTCAAATGAATAAATAGAATCTTAAAAAAAAAAAAAACTAACTAAACGTACAATTACCATTCAACCAAACAATGGCATTTAGAGAAATGAAAACATATGTTCACACAAAAACCAATACACAAATGTTTACAGCAGATTTGTAATAGTCAAAAACTGGGAGCAACCCAGATATCCTTCAGTGAGTGAAGTATAGTTAAGTGGTTCACCATAGTTTAAAAAAAAAAAAGAATGGTTAAACTGTGGTACACATGCACCCCATGAAGCACTACTCAGCAATAAAAAAATGCACTATGGATACAAAACACACAACCACCTGGACAACTCTCCAGAGAATTATCCTCAGTTTAAAAAGCCAATTGCAGGGCACCTGGGTGGCTCAGTTGGTTAAGCGACTGCCTTCGGCTCAGGTCATGATCCCGGAGCCCCAGGATCCAGTCCCACATCGTCTGGCATCGGGCTCCTTGCTCAGCAGGGAGTCTGCTTCTCCCTCTGACCCTCTCCCCTCTCATGCTCTCTCTCACTCTCTCTCA